CAACTAATGCTTATTTCTCAAGAAAAATTTACATTAATAAATACATTTACTCTTTTCAGATGCTATTTTTATTGAATACATCACAAAATGGATCTTTGATTTTATTTAGACTTGAACAAAAACACATTCTGGTCTCATGAGGAGCCAAATATGGCCCTAACATCGCCACATTCAGGGTTGCTTCGTGAGCAGATGCCAGACGGTTTAGGAAGAAGCCCAGCATGAGTCGTGCCAGAAGAACCTAATCTGGACTGGGCAACAAGCGCAAGGGACTGCAGGAGACTGTAAAGGACAGCACCGGTCCAATGTGTGCCTCCACAGGGCCAAAAGAGAGGGTACGACCCATTTAACCCATGCCAAAGATTTTACTCGTGCCAGATATAGGCCTACCACATCCACCTTCCTACCAGATCAGATTTGCGCAATCGCTTTGCGACAGAGTCACAGACACACACAGGGTGAGGTTGCTCGGAGAAGGTTCACCCTGAAGGACATACTTGGCACGACTCCGACATAAATCACAGTCACATCAACATTTCTGGCACGATGCATCCTCACACACTCACACACACACTTCCCACTAGTCCCTGGACTATAGCATTGGCTAGGTACAGGAGTGAAATTAAAATCACTTAACAGTGTGGACCAGCGGCACTGAGCAGATCATTTCTTCATGCAATTCTTCAAGTCTTTGTTTTCAAGCGTGGCACAAGTTCATATTTTACATCAAAGGCATATTTTGTTTTGGCTTGTATGCGGTTGCATGTAACAGTAATTCTACTGAGAAAAGGGAAATAAGAACTTTAGAATTACTGATGCACCGGTGAAGTTCGTCTGTGATAGAAATCTATTTAAATATATATAATTAACATTTAACAATAACAAATATTTATTATATTATATTATTAACTGTTTTATTATATTTTGTTATGTTAGGTTACAACAACTAAAGCTGTGTAGCCTAACTTTTGGCCCCTTTAGCGGTTGAATTATGACACCGCAAGTTACGGAGGAATATTGTTTGGTTAATTACGTCAGTTGTGCTTAGGCTTCGCTGTCGTGCGCGGATGAATCTGATGGTTTGAGTCGTGTATCGACGGATTTTCTCCTACTGTACTGGCGTCGCACAAGAGTAGCCGGGACTTCTTTTCTTTCCTTACGGACATGAGAAGACTCGCACAGACGAGTGACGGAAGTACTGGATGCACTTCCCGCGAAATCCGTCCCGACAGCTCTAACATTAATACAGATTTCTAATGTACTCATTAATAAACCATTACACATTAGCTGTAACTAAATAAAAATAATTACTTATTAGCACATTAACAATTACATAACAATAATAAAATACGTAAATATATTTATTATATTTTGTAAATACGTTTATAAAATATGATATTATTTTATAGTAATACGCTGTTGCAAATTTTTTATAAGCCTACATGTTTCCAGTTGTTTTAGATGGGCCTACAGAAATCATTCTCTATATAAATATTTATGTACAATTCACAAAAAGGTGCCATTTTAAGCAACAGTGCCTTCTGCATGCAGCCATCCTTCTCCTCTGAGAAATTGATGTTATTCATTTTTAAAAACTGAATTATGAATTATGTATATGCCATACTGTCAAACCATTAACACTGTGGCTGTCGTACACACGGGTATCTTTGTGTGTCAACCCTGTTTGATTATATTTAAAATATTTTAGCATATTTAATTAAATTTTTTAAATGAAAATTTTTTTATTTTAAACAAATTTTTATTGATGGTAATATTTTGTTTTTTCTTTGTCATCAAATCCGTGTACTCAAGATTAGCGTCGAAGCCCATCATCAACAGACGTCTAGAACTCTCAAAAGACCATCTTTAGCAGAGCTACTGATCTTAATACTTGAGTGTGTGTGTGTGTGTGTGTGTGTGTGTGTGTGTGTGTGCCACTTGACGTGTGAACATCCATGCCTTCATTTGCTGCCTGTTCCTGGCATCACACTGTCCTTAAAAGCTGATAATGTGTTAATGAAATCACTGGCAGACAGCTCTTGTCAGCCGAATGTTCCACATGAGAAGGGGCCAGTCCTCCACTGTGAGTCTGCAGGGTATAAAGCAGGTCTGTCAGGGGAGCAAGAGTCTGTCAGGGGAGCATGTGTCTGGCCAAGCCATTGCTTTTGTCTTGTCATTTTTTCTGGTCTTTGCTCTTTTATAATGTTACAGGTCCTTTCGCCCCGTCCTTCTCCGAGAGTGTGTGCTAAATTTTTTATGCGGGATGGGCCTGCCCCCTTTCTTTTCTGCAGCACAATGATTTATTGCCCAAAAAGACCAGAGAACTAATTAACAGAGTAATTAATTAATATGAATTTGCATATTTGCATTTGCAATTAGTGCAGTCAAGTGATTAGTCTGAAATGGGGAAGTTTGACTCATCAGATGTTGGTGTGTGTGCTGAACC